GACCCACATGAGTCTCTTATCAATTTAATAATAATATTTTTAATATAATTTAATTGAATTATTTAATTTCATATTATAAATAAAGTTTAAACCAATGAAATGTAGACACATATAAGATGAATCTCTCATATAGTCTTTCATAGTCTCTCATATGAGAGACTCTTTCTTTCCTCTCTTTTCTTTTTTTTCTAAGTTTATTAATATTATATTGTGAAAGTCTGTGTAAGAAACTACCAATACGGATGGTCTAAGACGAGTCTGATACGCAGATGGCCTCTTGAGCTGGTGTGAAGATGGCCTTATAAACGTCGTTAACTATCAAGATGTAAATCGTAGAGAGAGAAAGTAAAGTATGAGAGAGAAAGGTGAAATGCAAAAATAATTATACTTCAGATTAATCTGTTAGTAACTGTACACAAGAATTTATTTATTAGTGATTAAGAATAAAATAAGCTAACTAATTAACAGTATTAGTGACTCGTAATATACCCCCTCAAACCTTAATCGGGAGTAGGAATAGTAAAGCTTCACATACATATCCATGACAAAAGCGAATAGAACAGAGAGGAAGCAATCGGCTTTGTCAAGATGTCTCTGTGTTGATTTTCCGTATGAAGTGGAGGGTATTGAGGAAACCATTCTTCATTGGATACCAAACTTTGTGACAATCAACTTCGATGTGCTTTGTTCGATCGTGGATTTGAAGCAATATGAAGAGCTGACTTGTTGTCACAAAACAGCTTAGCGGGAACAGATGTGATGATGTGAAAATCACGAAGCAGCTGTGCAATCCAAAGAAGCTCGCAAGTAGCATCAGCAAGAGCTTTATATTCAGCCTTAGTGCTACTGGGACTGATCACTTTCTGCTTTTTTTAATTCCAAGTATTTAAATAAGTTCTCAAATAGACACAATAGCCGGAAACAGATCTGCGAGTATCCGAATAGAGAGTCCAATCTGTATCGACAAAGACATTGACACAGAGCTCGGTGGTAGCAGAGTAGAAAAGTCCTTGACCAGGATTCGATTAGAGGTACCGGACCACCTTGTAAGCCGCGTTGAGACGAACATCAGTAGGCTTAGAGAGATATTAGCTGAGCTTGTGCACGACAAAGGTGATGTCGGGCCTAGTGATAGTCAGATAAAGCAATTTGCCGATGAGTTCCCAATAAGGAGAGAGATTATTAAGGAGAACACATGTTTCTGAGCTGAGGTGAATAATCAGATCCATGGGAACAACACTCGGTTTGCAAGAAAGGATACCCGTCTCTTCCAACAAGTTGAGAGCATATTTGCGTTGGCAAACGGAACAGATATGCTTGTGGAGGAGCGAGCAATTTCCAAACTAAGAAAATAGCAGAGAGGACAGAGATCTTTGATCAAGAACTTGCCTTGAAGAACCTTCTTGAGACAGGCCACAACATTGGTGTCATTGTTAGTGATGGCGATGTCATTAACATAGACCAACACAGCAATAAACAATGAACCCGAGAGCTTAACAAACAGACAATTGTCAGCAGCAGACTGAATGAAACCGTCACCAAGAAGGACAGAAGAAAAACGTTGATACCACTTACGAGAAGCATGCTTCAAGCCATAGAGACTTATGAAGATGAAGCACAGGCTGATCAGGTAAAGAAGTACCTTCAGAAGGGGTGTAACCGAGGGGCAAAGCATGAAAATCTCCTTATGGAGAAAGGCATTGGACACATCCATTTCAGTGAGACTCTAACCCTTACGAGCAGTTAAGCCTAACATCAACTTGCAGACACAAGCTTAGTAATGGGAGAGAATGTATCAATGTAATCCAAACCTTTTTGTTGTGTAAAGCCCTTATCCACAAGAGAACCATCAGAATTGTACTTGAGCTTGTTCACCCATTTGCAGCTAATATAATGTTTACCAGGCAGGAGAGAAGTCACCGACCAAGTACCAGTACGTTGGAGAGCTGCAAACTCCTCATTCATGGCCTTGTTCCATAATTTGGACTTCGTGGCTTGCACAAAAGTTCTTGGTTCCATATCAGTGGTAATAGAAAGGATGAAATTTTGGTATGGAGGGGAAAAAGCTTCGTAGGAAATGACAGAGGAAATAGCATATGTGATGTTGTGATTCAGAGAAACACGAGAGAAGTGATGAAGGAGAGAGCAATGATACTCAGAAAGATATTTAGGTGTCTTCGTCTGCTGTCAAGGTTTCTCGTTGTGTAAAGAGACATAGCTAATCGAAGCAGAGACAGTAGGGTAGGTGCCATGAACGGTGTTAGAGGGTACAGCATGAGATGATGATGAAGATGCATGAACAGGGGACGGAAGAGTAGACGCAAGTGCAGGGGACGGATCAGCAGATGGATGAGTGGGTAGTGAAGAAGGTGATGCATGAGCAGGTGACGAAGTGGATGATGCATGAGCAGGAGACAAATGAGATGATGCATGAGCAGGAGATGTAAAAGAAGGATAAGGAACAAGCATAGGCAAAATAGAGATAGGAAACATGTCAGATGCAGGGGGAGGAAAAAAGGAAGGACCTTTAAATGAAAAAAAATCGTTTCAAGAAAGACCACGTTACGAGAGATGGAAATGACATTGGTTTCTAAGTCAAGCACCTCATATTCTTTGTATCTAGTGGGGTATCCTAGAAAGAGAAGTGTATTGCCTTGTTAGTATCTAAGAACACCATTTTTGTGTTAAGATCATCCAATATCTGATTTCTAAAGTTTGACCTTTCATAAGCTGCTCAAGTAGTATTTTGATGTCCATATCTTAAGGAGCAGGCGTGTGGTTCTAACCATGACCGTAAGGGTAATGTCCATATGCACCATAACGTGGTGGAGTATATGGTGAAGCATAAGGTGGTGGAGCATAGCCATGAAGGTGGTGAAAGTAAGGTGGTGGAGCATGACCGTGAGGGTGTTGGAAGTAAGGTGATGGAGCATAGCCATGTTGAGGATAAGGATTGTAATGGCTTTGGGTAGCTCCATAAGAGTTGGGAACACCTTTGTTGAAGTGACCTTGATGATGTTGCTCTTGGACAAAATGAACCTCTTCTAAACGATTTGTCTCCTCAACCTTGTGTTGACCGTGCTTTCCCACAGCCTCAACTGGTTTCTGTGGTGCCTTAAGCAGTTGATCGAGTCTCTCTTGTAGCTCTTTCACCTCTTTGCTGGTCTTCTTATCCATACTTAAAAGCTAGCCGTATTAAACTCTTGTGGTTGTAACGATTTGGTTCAAGTGTACCTACAAAAGATGTGGTCAAAAAGAAAAATAAGTAACTAAAAGAAAGTAAAATGCCTAGTCATACTTATAATCTAAAACTCAGTAATTTTAAACAAAATCCAAAGGCAACGACGCCAATCGATAATAGGCTTTTTTATACCTACTAAGCAATAATTCTCTACTAGTCAATTGTAGTATAGTATGGGGTTTTATGTCAACCCAATGGTCTAAGATAGAGATATTGAGAGTATATGATTCATGGAATAAGCGAGGCTGGAATCAAGAGGTTTAAAGACTTTACTAACAACCTACTAAAGCAATAAAAGAAGCAAAACAAAACTAAGAAATATCAACTCAAAAGATGAAACTAAGGCAAGTAACAAAATAGGATAAAATCTAAGCAAAGACTAAACTCATAAAAACAAGAAAAGAAGACACAAAAAACAAGGCAAAACGAAACACAAGCTTGAACAAAGATAAACAATAACAAAAGAGGTTCTTAGGATGAGATAAATGATCTATGATAAAACATGATCAATCAATGATGGCTTCTTACAGCATTTAGACCTTGGGTTTTTGATGGTAATCCTTAGGCATAGGACTTCATAAAACGACTTAATATGAAATGAAAATTGCACTATGTAAATGAAAATAAATGAAAATTTCTCATGTTTGAATAAAGCTAAGTAGAGGCAAAAAAGATAAGTAAATTCAAGTACAACCTTGTCAAGACTTACTTGAAAGTGGCTAGTTGGTCATGCAGTGTTGTGTTGAGCATGTTGACTTCATTGTCCTTCTTGTATTCTCATGAACTTATGGGGATTCAGTTCGTGAAAGAAACATCTTAAAAATTGGTCGGGAATCGTCGGCTTTTGTTAGTCATGCGATAAAGGGTCTTCCTTTCGCCATACATATCCACTACATCCTTCTCAGTGAGTGCCAATGGCGAATTAGAGGGGTTCTTCACGAGCTCCAGAGGTCTGAGAAATGGCTTTTTGCTATCACTGATTCAGTTTTTCATGGCTATAAATGTTCTTTCTTGACTGAACAAGGAAGCAGAAGAAAAAAATTAGGATACCATCCTTAGTGTAAGGAAATTCGACTAACATCTCATCTTTGTTGATGATGTGGTTATTATTATTGATGGGAGTTCTGCTTCACTCAAGGGTATTGTAGAAGTCCTTAAAGAGTTTGAAAATGAATCTGGTCTTGCTATAGACATGAGCAAATCCACTCTTTACATGGCCAGGAGAACTCATCATGACCTTCAGGAGACAGCCTCAGTTCTCGGAATTCCAATGGGAAAATTGTCCCCTAAATACTTTTCATTGCCACATACGACAAAGATCATGACACATCTATATTATGAGCCTCTAATAGACAAGATCCGCTCCAGATTTATTTCCTGGTGTAACAAGTCCTTATCCTATGCAGAGCTATTACAGCTCATTCAATCGATGATAGCAATTACTAAGGCTAAAGTTTCATTGAACTATCTTTGTCTTCCGAATAAAGAGGGTGGAGTAGGTATTCAAAGATTGGCTGATTCAGATACAGTGTTCTTGGTTAAGAAATATGGAGGCTGTTTATAAATTCAGGATCCATGTGGGTAGCTTGGACGAGAAAATCTCTATTATAGGAAACATCTTTCTGGGATATCCTGAGAAGACGACAAGCGGCTCATAGATTTTGAAAAAAAAAAATACTGAAGCTTATAGCCCTTGCAGCATGTACATACAAGAGATGCTTTGGAAAATCCAACAGACTCCTATTATGAATCTTGTTGTATGTCAAGGTTGTATTCTCTGGAAGCAAGGATCGGATCTATATGGTAACAAAATCTTAGAAAAGGACTTGGCATCAGTTTTGAGACTCAAAAGAGATTGGACGGTTGCATTGATTTGTTTGGAATAAACAATCCATCCCTCAACAAGCTTTCATCTCTTGGCTTGCTTGCAAAAATAGACTATCGATGGGAGATCGCTCACAGCAGTGGGAGCTTAATCAGCCATGTCTCCTTTGTGGAGAGTCTGGTGAGACTAGAGACCATCTCTTCTTTGCCTGCACGTTCTCGTTCACAGCCTGGTTGCTGCTAGTTTCATATTTTTTCCAAGCTTGAATCAACCGAGATTGAATTATAATGGTCAACTCTCTGCTGCAAAATTGATTATCGAAGATGGATTCAATGCTATTTCAAATGGCATTCCAATCTTCCATCTACTGGATATGTAGAGAGAGAAATGGACCCAACGGCAATATGCTTCTCCACTTTTCTTGACATGCATGATTCACAAAGAGATACAAAACTGACTTTTATCCCTGTAAAATGACTCAACTGGAGAAGTCGATGTGGCATATCAGTGATGGAATGCTCTTTCCCAACTCCCTTAATGTTACTATAAATCTTTCATCAGATGTTTTCATTTCAGATTTCCAATTAATATCCTTTGTTTTTGTGATAAAACTCATAGAGTAAACATGACTAATTATTTGTAATATTTTTTAATATATTATATTTTAATACCCAAAAATTATGTTATTAACTAAGTAACTTTGTTAACTTACCAAAATTATAAAAATATATCGATAACAACATAACTAATTCTATTATTGCTTAATATTCACTATTGTTATGTTGTCACCAACGTTATCGTTGTGTTATCATCACTACCGTAAATCACGCTACTATTATCACTATTGCCGTTTTGACCTCCGTCACTACTTTTACTACCATCACATTGCCACCATCACTACAGTCATCATCACCACCATTGTCATCTTCCACCCTTCTTCTTAGAGTTATTTACGTTCAAAGGCACTTTTTGAGTTTTAATTTACAAAAAAGGCACTTTTTGAGTTTCAAGTTACAAAAGAGGCACTTTTTGAAACTGAGGTAATTTTGCTATTGAATTGACAATTATGTTCTTATGTCCAAAGTGATGAAAATCAATACGCGTCCACGCATTGGTGTCCATTCGTTGTTACTATCACTTAGTGTCCATCAAATCATATTGTAACTATCACTTGGTAACAATTTGTATCCATTGAGCTGTGTCCATCAGACCGCGTCCATGCGTTGGTGTCCACCCATTTTCACTATCACTTAGTGTCTATCAAATCGTATTGTAACTAAAACTTAGTAACAATTTGTATCCATCGAGCTGTGTCCATCAGATCGAGTCCATCGAGTTGTGTCCGATGAAAAGAGTATTTTCGGGCATTCAAGTGAAATAGATAAGAAGAAAGATGAGAAAATGCCTTAGTTGCAAAAAGTATTTTTTAAAAAATTGATAACTCAAAAAATGCCTCTAAACATAAATAACTTTTTCTTCTTTTTCATCTATTTATTTCTTTTTCTTCTTTTCTTTCTTTCTTTTTCATCTTTCTCTTCTTCCTCTACCTTTATCAGCAAAATTGAAGAGAATTGTTTTTTTAGTAATTAGTTAGAAAATATCAGAACAAAATATGATTTATCATATATAAACTATGAAAGAGAAAAAAATAGTTACAAAAAACTAAATATTATATTAATAATTAATATCTAATGTCATGATTCTACTTTTTCTATTGTTATAATTTTCTTTTATTGATTATCAAAAATAAGATGGTAGATATACTAGTAAGATTGTTAATATCATAATTACATTACATAATATTTTATAACATATTATTAGTTTTGTTAAGTCTTCAATTTCTTTCTTTACTTTACATTGATAAAGTCTTTTTTGTTTATTATCCTTGTGAATAATTTCATGTTGTATGTTTTTCCTCTTTTTATATATTTTTGATGAAGAAGGATGAAAAAGAAAAAGAGAATAAAGAATGAGATGTGTGATGGTTGGGGATGGTGAAGGTGGAGGTGGAGGTTAGTGTTTGTGTTGTGACGAGTGATGATGGTGCTAATGGCAACATGGATGATGGTGATGTAGTGACAATGGTGGTCTTAGTAATGTGGTGGATGGTGGTGAGATACTATGATGATAACGTTTATGACAACGGTAAAAGTTAAATAATAACAAATATAATAATGTTATTATTAGTATAACCTTGTTAAATTTTGTTAAGATAACAAAATTAGTTAATTAATAACACATATTTTTATAATTTGATAACTGGTTAACGTGATAATTTTTAGTTTTTTCATATTTTATATTTTTATTATATGATAATTTTACAAAATGTTAATTAGATTAATATAATAAGTTTATATTTTTAATGATATGCTGAACTCGCTTACCATGCTTTTTATATGATATACTAACTACATTAAGTTGTTTATTGCATAATAATAGTGTCAGTTTAAGTGAATATTATTTTTAAATATATGGTGAATATTGTTGTGAGATAGATGGTGAACATGGTTGTTGAAATTTTAAATTGCTGATGGAATATTCTGTAATTAAGCAATATAACAAAATACTTTTGGATTATAATTATTCTCTCTGCTATAATTACCTAATTTTTAGTTATAAAGAGTTAAGTAGATATATCTATTTGACTATTTATTTAATGGATAATTTAAAATTAGGTTATTAGAAAAGCAAATTAATTTTTATCAAAAAAACTTTTTTTATCTTACTTAGTTATAATGTCACATTTTCTATTTATTCTGAGATAATATTTTTAATTGGTTTAAAAAATTTGGTTATTATTGGAAAAAATCTGGCAATATTGTTCACGATTTTCTTATAAAACTGTTCATCCAAAGTTATAGAGACCGACAGTGTTATTATGTAACTAAAATATTGAACAACTTAGCATATTGTATAAAATATCATGTTGAATTAATACCTTAGCATATTAAGAGAAAAAACTAAATAATATATTATTATCTAATAATTTTTTTATCTAAATTTTTTTGAAGTTATTAAATATTATATACTTAATTTATCATTTAAGTAACTCATTTATATTGGAAAAATGATAATTCATTTATCTTTTCTCAAAATATTAACTAAGTTTTTGAATTTTATTATTAATCCTATTAACTGTGTCATGTATGATAATAAAAAAAGTTAAGTAAATAATTATTATGTATTCTCTCTTTAAACTTCTTCCATTTACAAATGTTTATACACAATATACCATATATATGTATGAATCTTAAATACACATATCTCTTTTATGTTTACATCTTTCAGCATCATGAAAATAGATATTAGATTTTTTTCTTTAACAAAATTCTCTGCTGTACTATAATATATACTAGATGCTGGACCTGCGCGTCCGCGCAGATATATGATTTTTGAAGTAAATTTTATAAATGTTTATATTATGTAGTATAAGAAGATTTATTATATATTATATTATAAGATAGTCTATTTTCTGGTACATATGTATCATGGCTTTATTTCGAGAGAATGGATAGTCTGTTTTTCATATGTGTATAGAAAAGCTAATTGTTTTTTTCTTGCTAACAGAAAAGCTAATTGTCTTGCTGATAGATTAGCTAACTCTGCTTTTTCTCTTCCTCTAGATGTCCAGTTTTTAGATTCGGTTTCACCTAGTTTAGTTTCGATTTTCAGTTACGATATGATCGGTTCTGCGCGCCCAAGAAGAGTTTGTGTGTAGCTGGTTTTTATGTTTTGAATAAAATCAGGAAACAATGTCTCCCCCACCCCTTCCTACCAAAAAAAAACTATAGTTATATTAATAATATATTGTTTATTTATGTGTTATGAGGATTAAAATTAATTTTTGTAAATAGAAAAATTTGTTTGAATTAAAAAATAAGATAATATAAGTTACGTGCAACTAATTCAACATTGTAGACACACGAGTTGTTATTGTAAAATATGATAATAAGTTATTGGTTTTATATAAAATTTATGTTTTTTAATATTGTATTTAGTTTTTTTTCTTCTCCTTCTCCCCCTTCATATTCTTTCTTCTTCATTTCTATTATATGTTTCTTTTTTTATGTTTTTCTTCTCTTCTTTTTTCTATTATATGTTTCTTTTTCTTTTTGTCTTTTCTTCTCTTTCTGTTTCTCATGCTTCTTCTTCATCTTTTCTTCTTCTCTCCCTTCATTTATTTTTGTTCTTCTCCTTCTCCTTTTTATCCTTTGTTTTTTTTTTCTCCGTTTTTTTCCTTCTTTCTTTTTTGGATTACCATGAAGGTCTGGGCCGAAGCCTGCAATCTCTACAGACCCGAAACCACATCATGTAATATTAGTTTAATCCTAAGCATCACTTGATCATGTGATCTCTAAGCTTTGCCTAGATCATTTACCAGTCAAGTTAACGACTCTTGGTTACTACTTCGTCTTCTCCTCCATCCCTTCTTCTTCTTCTTTTTCATTCTTTATTCTCCTTCTCCTTCGTTGTTCTTCCTCTCCCTTCTTCTTCTTCATCCCTTCTTCTCCTTATTATCCTTCGTCTTCTTCTTCTCTTCCTCCTTTATGCCTTCTTCTTCTTCTTCTTCTTCATCCATTCTCTTTCTTCTCCGTTCTCTTTTTCCGTTTTTTTTCATCTTCTCTATTGGTCTTATTCGTCATCGCTTCTCCTTCTTCTCATTCGTTTTTCTTCTTTTGCATCCCTTCTTATTATCTTTTCTTTTCTTTCTTCTTCTTTATTACTTATTCTCCTTCTTCTCATGTTCTTCTATTTTTTTTTCTCTTACTTCTTCTCTGTTGTTATTCTTTTTCATCTACTCTTTTTCTCATCCATCCCTTCTCTTTAATCTCCTCCTTCTTCGTCTCCTTCTTATTTGTTCTTTTTCTTATTTGTTCTTTTTCTTCTTTGTCAAACAAAAAATGATAAATTTAAAACTAAAAAAATTAAAAATAACAACCATATACATAGTAAACAAACTGAAACAAAATATTTAACATATAAAAAATTAATTTCGACTAAAAAATATTGATGTTTGCAAAGATATTTGTTTTTTGAAAATATAAATAGGGGAAAAAATTAGCCAAAACAAATTAGAGAAAATGAGATAATGTGAGTTACTGTTTTTATTTCTCTTATAGTTTATTGAAATACTATTATCATATATATTTTTATTATGTTAATTGTAAATTATGAAAATCTTTTATTAATTTACTGAATTTTCCTATTATTAATATGTTATTACATCTACAATAAAAAATTTATCAATATTGTTTGTAATATTTTTGAAAATATGCTAAAATCCATATTTTTCAGAATATGCTTTAAATTTATGCAGTTATGTTTCTTAATTAAAAAATATTTTGATTTTTATTTGGGAAGCTTGCTCTATAATTTTAG